CTGCAGAATCAGCGAACCGAGTGCCTCCTGGTAGAGGGAGGTGCCTCCGGGCACTTGGTAGTGGAGCTAGGCTTGCTGAGAACCGAGTGCCTTCAGACAGGAGGCTCCTGGTAGAGGGAGGTGCCTCCGGGCACTTATAGATAGAACTAGAGGTTTGAGATATTTGCCCAAGCAGGGCAGAGGTCAGGCCAGTTCAAGAGCCCATGACTGAGAGGCTGAGGGGTCAAGGAACCAGGAAAGGAAGAAGCTGAAGAGATGTGGGGTACAGGAAGCAGAGCTGCTTCCATGTCAGTGGGTGAGGCCACAACTTCTGAGGCCCCAAAGGGTGGGGCCTCGGCCTGCTGGGTCTCAGTGGGTGGGGCTGCTGCCTCCTAGGGCTCAAAGAGTCCGATCTCCACCAACTCCGTTTTGGAGTGTGGGGCTGCTGTCCTTAGTGCCAGGGCAGTGAGGCCAGAACTCTGCTCCCAGCTGCACTCGGGTGGGGCCGGCAGTGGGTCTGATTGCTCTCTGGCAAACAGCCTTCAAGCGTATCGTAAACAGCCATGGGCTTGTCAGAGCATCTTCAGATTGGCGTGATGATGGGGGACGTCGTGGGGGATAACTTTTAGTTAGGAGAATGTGACTGGGATTCATCTCCAACTCAGGATCACGAAGGCCTTCCTCCACCAGCGTCTGCCTCCCAGACTCCTAATTGTGACCGTAGAGAGTTTGCCCACATGCACGCTCTTCCCCGTTCTCAGCCTCCCACACCCCTTACAGCCTTCCCCTTTGTAAGAGATAAGAGGAAAGAGGGGAGCAGAGAAAGAGGGTCTAACCACCAGCAGTAAAGGAAAGCCAGGGGCACCGTTCGTCCTTTGAACCCAGGGTCCCCGTGCTGAGAACATCCTAGATCCAGAGGAAAATTGATGCCAAAGCACATGGAGATCTCTAAAGATTGCCCGGCCCACAGACCCAGAAAGGAGACCAAGGTTTCCTCTGAGGGCAGAGCTGGCACCCTGAATTTGGACATCCAGTCTCCTAAACTGTTTGCTAAAGCCATCTGCTTGTGGTATATCTATTCTAGCGGCAATAAACAACTAAGACATGCATTCTTAATTTCCTTGATTACCACATTTTCTTTTTCCTTGAAGTTACTAGAAATATGAGGGGGCACCCCCCCCCCAAAAGAAAACACCACGATTTGTTCCCAATGCTATGTGTTTAACTTATTTTACAATACGACTATCACATTCAAAGTACTCTCCATTACACTTAAAACAGGTGTTTCCATTTTTGGAAACACTTTTTAAACTCATCTGTTTGAATGACTGACAGCACCTCCCTCATTTATTTCTTCATCTTTTCTACGTCATCAGATTGCTGTCCTTTCATGTCCCTCTTCATTCACAGAAACAAAAAGAAGTCTCGTGGAGTGAGGTCAGGTGAGTAAGCTATGTGGGGCAATAAGGCGTGCTGTTTTTTGCCCAAAACTGGCGCATCGAGATGGCTGCGTGAGCAGGTACATTGCCGTGGTGACAAAAACAGTCCCCTGTCTGCCACAAGCCAGGCCTTTTATTTTTGCGGCACACTGTTACCCAATCTTTTCAGAACCTCTAAATAGAAAGCTTGATTAACAGTTTGACCTGTGGAATGAACTCCAAATGCACTATCCCCCTCACATAAAAACCCCACAAATGAGCATCAGCTTCATCTTTTATGTGGGTGAAATGAGATGGCGTCTTCCACTGGCTTGATAGATGTTTGCTTCCGGGGTTGTAAGAATAGCACCACCATGGCTCACACCTTGAAAAAAAGTCGGGGTCACTTCAGAGCTGCTCTTTCAAAGCACAGCACGTTTCCAGTCGATATTCTTCCCGCTCAGTCAGAACCCGAGGCACAAATCACAGAGACCTTCCTCATTCCCAAGCCTCCCGTTAAAACCCTCTGAACCAAGCCCCGCGGTCGTCTACATCACTTCCCATCTCTCCAGTGCTCCCTCGTTGGTCTTCGAGCACAAGTGCACACATTTTGTCAACATTGGTGTCCGTTCGGGAAGTTGCTAGATGTCCAGAATGTTTGTCATAATTGACATTTGACCTTTTTTGAAACAATAAAACCACTAGTACATTTGAGTTTTTCCATAGCATTGTCCTTGTAAGCTCTGTTCTACATCACAACAGTTTCTGGGGCAGAAAAAAGTTTTCACAGCCCTCACACTGTTCTCTTAACTAGACCATCACCAAGCAAGGATCAAGCAAAACTGCTTTTACAAAAACTTCACTGTGACAAGAGAGAATCTCCCCAGGCGCTGCCACTGGGTGCACTACCTCAGAGCAAGTTGCTTCATGCTCACCTAGTGGGAAATGCGTTCTACAGAAGCCCCTCCTCGCCGAGCTTTTTAACGTTTTAATTTTGGAGGTGCTCTCTCGTTGTTCTAAGTCATCTTCCCAAGTCCACGGTGTCTTCCCTCAATCAGTATCTTCACCCCACACCTCCTCACTCAGGGACTCCTATTATTTATGTGTTGGGTTATCTTTGCACATTTTCAATATTTATAATTTCCTGTCATGCTATCTTTATTTCTCTTTTTAAAATTTATAAAGTACTCCAATTTTACTGTCTGCATATTTTAAGACATTAAAGTCTCCTGTGTTCCTTTAACTCTTAATTCCTAAAATACGTTATTTATTTCTAATTTTCCTTATGTCCTGGCACATTGTTTATAATTTTTACAATTCTTATTCATGTGTCATCATTTTCTTAGTGCCTTTTAGTTCCTTTTGAAATATCCCATTTCAGGTTCTGTGTGTTTTAGGGCATGTCTCTCTGGCATACTAGTATTGTCTATAGAAATGTTTTCTTTTCTTCCTTCTTTTGTAGTAACTTGAAAGGTACTTCACTTTGACATTGGTTGTCTTGTTTATTTTTGTTATTTTCATTTTCCTGAACTTTTTGTGAAGAATGCTAATTAGCTTTTTTTTTTTTTTTTTAGTTCAAGGTCCCTTTCTTGACCTTTAGGAGGATTTTCCGGTTGAGTCTAATGGAGTGCCACACCCTGGCCCCAAAGTCTACTTTTGGTATTCCCTCGGGACTTCCTTGCTTGCTCCCTTTGCTGTTCTGTTGCACTCCCTTAGTGCTTTCCTCGGTGTGGTGGGGCCAGATGAGGTGCAGTTCCCACGCTGTGTCTCCAGTGTTGTCCCCTGTAGGGCTATGGGTCAGTGAGGGGTGTCGTGTCTCATAGTGGGGCCGGCCATATGGTCCTCTCTGTGTATTGGGATATCATCCTCAAGGCTTGGTGGGCCAGGACGTGATCCACTCTCATCCTCCCCCTTCATTTGCTCCCGTGCGCACTGCTCAGACATGTCCCTCTCCCTGAGCTGCAGCTTCAGTGCTGTCCTCTGAAGTGAATCCTTCTAGGGGCAGGGGGCTAATTAGCTTTTGTGTCATGTATTCACGTGCTGATTCCATACAGTGGGTTCTGCTCTTTATCCCTGTACCCCTCCATGTTTACCCAGGGGGGCCTGGTAACCATGAGCCATATGGTCATCTCTTCAGGCACCCTCTGGGCATAGGAGAGGCAAAGGGCCAGTTTGAAAGGCCTCTGTAACCCATTCCAAGGGCTCAGCCTTTGGGCACGACTTAACCTAGTGCTTTTGCACGTGGCTGTGACAGGTGGGCTGAGAAAGACTTGAGGAAGGGTTTCCGTACCTCAAGTACACCCCTTTTTAAAGACCCCTGGGCCCCAGCAGCAGAACCCCCTTCCTGGCCAATGAGGCCTGAGGGTGTTGGGGTCACACACCAGGTCAGAACTCCTTTGCTGGGTGCTCTGTGGAGGCAAGAAGGGGCTGGGGATGGGCTGGGGGTGTGCCCAGTGTCGAGAGGCTTGGGAGACAAAGGTGCAGAGGAGGTACAGGGAACAGCCTGTCGGGGAGGAGGAGCCACACAGTGTATTTTGTGTTTCAGTTACAAATTGTAACCTTTTAAAAAGGGATCCATTTTTTTCTTTTATGGATCCTACCCTTAAAAATCTGATCAGAAAGGCTGTCCACACAACATGGTTAGGGAGTTGGTGTGTGTGTGTGTGTGTGTGTGTGGCTGGGTGATGGAGGAAGGCAGCAAGGAGTCTGTACTGTGGGGAGTGGGGTGGAATGTGATGACAGGAACGCTATCCTGGTGTGCCGGCCAGAGATCCCTTCCCCTTAGTGCTTCCCAGGGCAGGTCTGGGGTCCAGAAGCATCTTTGCATTGTGGGTGATGTGCTGACAGCCAAAGGCTCGGGCGATATGTTAAGCCTCTGGAAGGGAGCAAACATGTCAGTGTTTCCAGAAACCTTGAGGAGCCCAGGTGCCCTCAAAACAGCCAGCGTGGCCACTTAGACCTGCACCCTGTCTGTCACAGAGTGGGCACAGCCCCCATTGTTTGGGTGTGAAGGGGTGCCCGCAGCGGTGGCATGCTGGCCCTCTTCTGCAGGACACATGCTCTGCTTGGCTCCTGTCTTACGCACGCAGAAAGAAGGAAGTCCAGAGATGTGTGATGATGCTGAATTCACATGTTTATTCACCAGAGAGGTAACAAACCTTGTAACTCATATGCTCTAACTTAACCCAAAGCATACATGGTCACACATCAGGCAGTGCACCCTAGGTGGTGTCCCTGACCGGCGGAGAGCTCCAAGGGGCGCAGTGTCCCCTGCGTTGCAGGAGCTCCAGAGCTCCGCTGCTACCAGTAGGGTCTTTATACAGGAAGGTCAACAACTTTGCTTACGTCATGACTAAGTGGCTAGCCTCTTCTGGTGGTTTTGATAAATCTGGAGCTGGTGTCCTTGTGCAAGCAACGTACCTAAGCATGGATCTTTGCTCCCTTTCAGTGTGGAGTTTCTTCCGCTCACGTCACTCACCCACGGTGCATCCGGTCTCCACCCGCCGGGCCTGGCTCCAAGGAGCCGTCTGCAGGGAGACTGTGGGGATGCGGGCGCTGCCAAGCTGGCTGCTCGTGCTTAGTGTCCGTCTGTCTGTGTTCCAGGTCAGCCGGGCGGAGCGGGAGAAAAACCAGGAGATCCGGCAGGTGCGGGAGCACGAGCAGCACAAGAACACGGTGCTGGTCACAGAGCTGAAGACCAAGCTGCACGAGGAGAAGATGAAGGAGCTGCAGGGGGTGCGGGAGGCGCTGCTGCGGCAGCACGAGGCGGAGCTGCTGCGGGTCATCAAGGTCAAGGACAACGAGCATCAGCGGCTGCAGACCCTGCTCCACGCCCTGCGCGACGGCGGCCCCGACAGGGTCAGGACCGTCCTGCTCTCGGAAGCCAAGGAGGAGGCCAAGAAGGGCTTCGAGGTGGAGAAGGTCAAAATGCAGCAGGAAATCTCCGAGCTCAAGGGTGCCAAGAAGCAGGTGGAGGAGGCGCTGACCATGGTCACCCAGGCTGACAAGATCAAGGCCGCCGAGATCCGGAGCGTGTACCACCTGCATCAGGAGGAGATCACCAGGATCAAGAGGGAGTGTGAGCGAGAGATCCGCAGGCTGGTACGTGGACACTGGGCTGGCTGGCTCACACCGCACAGCACTGGGGTTGGGAGGGCCCCAGAGATACCAGGGGTCCCCTTCAGGGCAGGTAATAGAGTCAGGTACCCTTGGGGCCACAGCAGTGCCAGCTCTGTGCCTCCCCACTTCCACTCCCCATGTCTCATCTGGGCGGGCTCCCTGGGTGTCACTTCTCAGCGACGACGAGGGCCAGGGTGGCAGTTCAAGAGCACCTTGCAGTGTGGATCCAGTTCTGACAAATCAGCCTTTGACGACCCTGAGGAGCACCCACTCTGGCACCTGTGTTCCTCCCTCACAACTCACCGTGATGGCGTTTTGGTTTGGTTTGGTTTGCGGATCTTCATGTGGGCCAGAACGAGTCATCTACCAGTTAGCAGTTCCCCCAAGAAGGCTTTATAAAAGCCTCCCCTTCTCAGACTCCTGGGTTAGACTGAAAGCCAAGGAGGGCTTCTGGCTTATCGAGGGATAGGCTTCCTGAAGAGGGGTCCTGCAGGGTCTGCTGGCCCATGGATCTGGAAGCTCTGCATTGCCAGGGGAGCTCCAGCTTCCCGAAAGTGCAGGAAAACGAAAACAACAAAAGCCGAGAGGACACCGATGTGAAGGTCATATACCACGAAGGGGGAGCAACAAACAACAGAGACCTGCTGTCCCTCCACAGGCCTGGCGGTTGGGATCCACAAAACTCCCTCCCTATTTCACATCCATGGAGAGTCCCTCCTGTTTTCTTCTAGAAGTTTTGGATGCTAGCCCTCACGTTTAGGTCTATGCCCCGTTTGAGATCATGTCTGTAGACAGTGTCAGGTAAGGAGCTAAATGCCCCCTCGTTGACCAGCACCCTCTATTGAACTGCCTGGGCACCTTTGTCAAGTCCGTGGCGGGCCATGCACCTAGGAGGCTCTCAATTCTGTCTCAGACTCAATTCTGCCCACTGCACTGTCCCCAGCACTCTGCGTCTCACTCAGGGCCCACAGACAGGGCTGTGCTCCAGGAACTGAGTTGAGTGGGGTGTCACTCTCCATGGATGCCCACCCCCCACCTTGTGGAGTGAGAGACTGCGCCCATTACAGGAGTGAGGCTGCCGTAGGAGGTGGACTGGGCGGGGGCTGGCTGAGAGCTCGTTTCGGGAGCTGAGACGTTCGGTAGATGGACGGGAGAACATGAAGGCCGTGCCTTAGCTGGGACAGAGGCACAAGGAGGGCCCACCACGGAAGGACTGGCAGGGAGGAGCAGAGCAACAGACGTGGGGCCTGAGTGGTGGGGTGAGCAGGCAGCGTAAGGGCAGGCACAACTCCTGGGAGCCAACCGGCTGCAGCGAGGGTTCAGACTCTGTGTGCCGTGAAAATGCCCCCCAAACCCTGCACTGGCCGATCCGGCCATGTCTCCTTGGGACGCTGCTGCTGCTTACATTCTCAGGATTGTGCAACCTTGACTCTGCCCTTGCCAGGACCATCACCAGGGGAGTTGGGACCTTGTTCTGAGTGGAAGGTTTTCCACTTGGGAGCTCAGTGCTGGTTGTGGGGGCCAGATTGGAGCAGGCATAGCAGTGGACTGGGGAGTAGGCGTGGACGAATGACTGGACATAGGGAGTGGATACTGGGGAGCCTGGGGCAATTCAGGCTAGGAGAGGTGAGTGACGACAGGTGACCAGCTCATCGCAGTCACCCAAATCTCTTTGTGTCAGCCCTTACAGCCCTGGGTGGGGACTTGGTGTGGTGAAGCTCAGGCTTCTCTCCACTGCCCTCCAGAACCCTGACCCCACAGGGACTCAGGCCAACCTTTGGAGCTTTGCATCTTTGACTGGGGGCTCAGATAGCTGCTGTCCACCCTGGGAACCCCACTGCAAGGAAGTACATACTCCCAGGGGTTCCACAGCCAGGGTGGCAGGAACCTCCAGACTGCCCTGGCACTTTGCCCTAGGGGGCATGTCGTTGGACTCCGGCTCCCCAAATGATAATGTGGGGTGACCTAAATTGGAACAGCCCACTGTGCATGGGGGGGACCTCACACAGCATAGCCAGGGGTCCTCCTGGCATGCACTGCATGCGCCACACAGCCAGCTGTCCCGCCTTGTCTAGAGTCTCAGGCAGGGAAATTGGGTCCACACACCTGGCAGGAGTTTTGGCATTTCTGCTAATGGAGGTGCTGGGATGAGCCCCCACCTTGGCGAGGACCATTCTGGTTGAGATGGTTGAGGGCCCTGCCTTGGGGAGGACTCCCTGCAGTGGAGATGCTGTGAGAACTCCCTGCCTTGGGGAGGACTCCCTGCAGTGGAGATGCTGTGAGAACCCCCTGCCTTGGGGAGGACTCCCTGCAGTGGAGATGCTGTGAGAAC